GCTTCTTTCTACTGGTATGAGAACTATTCTAAATTCAATGGATTCTGTCTATAGGGCTTTCATGAAAACTTTTTAGTCATATTCATGGGGATTATCAAATAGCCTACAGTTTTGATTACTGTTTCAGGTTCAAATAGAATTCAGAGTTCAACATGAGACTCAATCAAAATAACGACAATAGTAACAACTATAACACAAAGAATAAAAATCTTTGCCTGACACTTTTACATAAAGAGTTTCATATATTGATGTTAAGTATTATATAAATATGATATAATGGCTTGTACAATAATGAGGACTCTATATTTTTAACACTATTGATTTTTTTTATGTTCTTCATTTTGCATTCTTGTTAAACATAGTCATTGTTTTCATACTGAACTTAAAAAGGGAAAAGAATGAACAGAGACTGAGTTCAGGAGACCATGATAGGCCTGGATTTCAGATCAACCCAGTAGCTTTACCTCTTTTCTATGTTGACTTCTTACTGGAAGCTGAAATTATACGAACGTTTGGATATATTATTAATAAATATATCTAGAGCTTGGTTATAAAGTTTTGCCAGATGTAATTAAATTTTGAAGAAAATATTTTTTTTAAAAAAGTCAAGAAAATAGCTTTCAACCAACATTTGGCTTATAAACAAAGTAGTTTTCTAAAATAACAAAGCCAGCCATGTAAGCCTCCTTGGCCATGGTATTCACTGATCACTTTCCATATTTCATTTTCTTTGCAATATATCCACAGCAAATTGTAGTAGAAAGAACAAAGAACTTAGGGTCTGAAAAAACTCTGTTCAAGACCTAATCAAATCCTTATCAATCCTTGACTATATGAATTTGAGCCAGTAACACAATCTTCCTTCTCAGTTTCTTTAGCTCACAGAGTCAACACACGCTGCCTCTTTAATAAGATGGAATGCTGGTGAAAGTTGCAGCATATGAGATTTTATGCATTGATCAAGCGCCTACTGTGTGCTATGTTTTATTCAAGGCATGATTGATGGTTAAAAAGAGCCCCAATGAATCAAGCTTTCTTCGGTGCATGTCAGTTACAAAGTGAATTTGCTGTTCCTCTCCTTTAGAGGTGAAGTCTGTTTTCCATCACTTGAACCTGGGCTAGCCTGCTAATTTGCTCTGACTAACAGAATGTAGCAGAAATGACTTTCTAGGACTCCATACCCAAGCCTGCTTTTGCTCTTGGAGCCCTGTTGCCATGCTAAGAAGTTCAGCCCATCCAACTGGAGAGAGAGGCCACATGGAGAGAGGGAGACCCTGGAGGATGTGAAACCACATAGAAAAGGAGGTCCCATGACAAGCACTGACCCACTTCACCTCTAGTCAGCACTACATAGAGCAGACAGGAGCAGACCCTCTGAGCCCTGCCCCAAATCCTGACCCACATGATCATGAGCAAAACATGGTATAGTTGTGTTAGGCCACTAAGATTTGGCATGATGTATATTTGTCGGTATATAACTGATACACAATTCAGTATTTTCACTGTATTTGCGATCTTCAGAACAACCTGTTGAAATAGCTATTATACCCATTTCACAGAGAGGAAGTTGTGGATCAAAATAATCTCATAATGGGCCAGACACTGTGACTCATGCCTGTAATTCCAGCACTTAGGGAGGCCAAGGTGAGTGGATCACCTGAGGTCAGGAGTTCGAGAGGAGCCTGGCCAACATGGCGAAAACCAGTCTCTACTAAAAATACAAAAAATAGCTGGGGATGGTGGCAGTTGCCTGTAATCCCAGCTACTTGGGAGACTGAGGCAGGAGAATCGCTTGAACCCATGAGGCAGAGGTTGCAGTGAGCCAAGATCATGCCACGCACTCCAGCCTGGGCAACGAAGCAAGACTCTGTTTAAAAAAAGAAAAGACTGATATTGGATGTACAGACCACTTCACAAACCCCTGAAGTGTCCTAACTGACAGGGAAAACATGAAACTCTCCCCCGCTTGTGAAGGAGTACACTTTAAAAAAACTTTCTATATAAAAGTATTGTTCTGCTTCATGCAATGATTCAGAAACCCCCTAAACATTCTCAATAAATCTCTGTCATTTCCCAGTGGGCTAAAAGCCTATTGCTAGGTCTTGGAGACAACAGACTCCAGTTTAATGTAAGTTCCAGGACAATCAAAACCATTTGTATTCTAACAAAATGTTCAGTTTCTCACATTAATAGAAACAAGACTCAAGTTTGGATCAAGCATTCTAGTCTTTTGATTCAGTTGGCCTAACTCACAGGATTTTAGAGCTGAATCAAAGCTTAAGGTCATGTGGTCCAAACCTCCAATATCAGCCAAAAAGTTACTCAAGTCTATCCACCCAGTTCATGGCAGCAGGACCAAACCAGGTATCTGATTCCCAATCCACTCAGCACTGCCTTTCAGACACAGTCCCAAGGTCCCCGAGTCATTGCAGAGATCACTTAGGGCAGGATTACCTACTTCCAGAATTTTGGAAAAGATAAATAATTGCATGTCTTCTCATATAACAGTTTCATCTATTTTCACTAATAGGATTATGTAGTCATTTAAAGCTAGATCTAAAGTCTTTCACAAAAGAGAACATCTGCATTATTTATCTTTTAAAAAAATACCAGAATGACTTTTAAAATAACATAAAGAAAAGTGCACAAAAGGCATGAATGGCATGTGATCAGATGAAAGGATGATTTAATTGGGCAATATGCGCACAATTCTCAATTCATTATTTATGATGCTTGCTGACATTTGCAGTGAAACATCAATGTTACCTTCTTAGTATAAAATGAGTGATTGGGAGGAAATGCCATGCAAACTAACAGAACATCTTCAGCACATATCTAATGGTAGCAATATATATATATATATATTAAAACATCCCATCATTAACTAGTTTTGTTTTCATAATGTTCATTCTGCTTCATTTGTACATCTTTTAGCAGCAAAAGTTAAAAACAGAAGTTGCATTCCTGAAGCCAATTTTGCTAAAATATATTATCTTGTTATGAGAAAAAGGACTCTTGTGAAATGAAAAGCAAGCAAACAACATCAAGAACAGCTTTATTGGCTCAAGGACTGGGCTGACCCATGGAAAATATCCTGGAGATTTTTGTCCTAGTCCTAGAGTGCATATGTATTTCTTGCCTTGAGCTATACCTTACACAACTGAAATGTTACTGTATACTTCAAGTATGTCTTATATTCTGAACTAGATCAACTTCCATTAGAGTAGAGACTGTTCCTTAAACATCTTCCTTCATAGTGCCTACCAAATTCTATACTTCTAGGTAGAAGTAGAAAATCTGCTAAGAGAATACAAGAGATATTTAAAACATGTTGCCCTTTTTTCCCAGGTAATAACAATTGTATGATGTACCACCACCCTTCTCCCAAGAAGGAAATCAAGGGCAGACAGTAACTCAAGGTAGAGCATCTGTAATTAGAATGTAACCAATCCCTGTAGTCTGCATTTTAGCCAGGAGGGATTTTAGTTACTGAGGCATCTGCAACCTAGAGAGGGCTCAAGACGTCATTGCAATTTAGATATACAAGTTGTATATTTTGGGAGCAGGATTACTCTTTTAGTGTAGCCATATTTGGTATTGTGAGCAGAGAAGCAGACATTTTTAGACTGAGAGTGGTGAGGGAACGAAGCATTGAAATTATCCAATTACAAGATGACTGACTGCCATGTCTATTCTTGTATACAGCTGAATCTGCCATCGATCCTTGACTTACTCTCCATGACCCAGGAAGGAGGAAGAGAGGAAAAGAAAGAAGAGGCATTGACCTGAATTAGCTAAATAACACATGCAGAGTTCACATAGCCTCTCCTCTAGGGTGTGCCAAGGTCTCATGTTAGTCTGTGTCTTTTTTTTTTTTTTTTTCAGTTAGATATTTGCTCTTCTACCAGAAAACCTTTCTATTGACAAAGTAACAGAAGAATACATTTTAACTTGAAGTTTTTCCACAAAGTAGATGTCTTTTCTTGTGAGAATTGGCATATTTTTAGCCTCAGAATAATCTCTAGTTTCATATGCCTAATTAAATTTTAGAGGTCCTCTGCTTAAAGATTTATTAGCTGTTAAAGTTGTAGCATAACTCTTCTGCCACCTACATGCTATCCTTGAACATATTTATAAGCAGACTAGCTTATCACTATAAAAAATACGGGTGATTTAATACTCAGATGTTATTGGTGTCAATTACAAAATTCAGCTTCACAATAGAGCTTTCTGAAGATACTGTTACTTGACTTTCAGACTGTCAATTTACTTGAAGAAAGAGGGTGTGTGAATTTCATTTATGAAGTGTGGGAACTAGTTAAGCTAATGAAGGCAGTCAGCAGTTCTGGAACCCTGAAAATAGGGCCCAAGAAAGGTTACAAGCTGTGCCATGTACAAATATGGTCCCATCACTAAAAAGCCTTCTCTTTGTGGGTGAATACATGGGCACTGACATTCATGTGAGTGTTTAGTGGGACACACAAACTCACAGACATATCAAGCATCATTGTTTGAAAAATACTTCCGCCCACCAACAGTCTTGACATCTTCCATTATTCCTAGGAATTTTAGCTATAAGTTTGCCAACCTTAAATTTTGTCAACGTATCCAAAATATTCATAATTAAATGCAATTTGGCAACATTAGCAAAATCCCAAAGTCCTATTTCACGAGGACACGTCTAAGTATGGATTGCATTGTGCCTACATCTCAGTGGAGTTACTTGATCTAATCAGACTTTCAGAATCAATGCAGTCAACACAATGAAAGTCCCCATTGACCCCAAGGTTGAAACATCCCTTGCAGAAATAATCAGAACACCCTGGTCTGAGGATAGAGACTGGGTAGAAACAAGATGTATGTTTAGCTCTTTAATAAAGGGATATTTTGAAAGATGTAACTTCTATTTTCTAATTCTCATGAAAGAAGAAACGCTTTTAAGCTCTATTTCTTAAATCCTCAAGCTCAGTTGCCTTCCAGGCAAGAACCAAAATACTTACATTACATTCAGCGTAAGTTGAGGGTCAGTAGACTGACGTTCTACTCTAGAAAATAAAAAGAGACAGAAAGGTGACAGAATTTGAGCATTATAATTTAAATGACCTTTCTGGATCTTGTAGTACTATAATCCAAAGACTGAACACAGGTTCTTCTAAATAATTTCCATAAAAATATTTGTCCATGTATTTCCCCCCATCAGAAAAGCGTTCCAATCTTTGACTAGCAATTTTATGTAAAATGCTTTTGGGTTTTATGTATAAATTTTAAATATAACTTTGTTACTTCACTGTCAGGTTTGATACATACAATTTCTTATACATTTGGAGTTTACATAAAATTAGAGGTTTTGCCTCATTGTGTTTACTTAACTTCAAACACACAAAAAACAAACATGTTTTGTATGTCTGTGTTAGCCAGTCGGGGACACGAGCCCTTTTTCCCTCAGGACTTCAATTCCCATACTATTTTCATCTTTACTGATTCATTTGTGGGCCAAACAATTTCACAGCATGATTTATGGGCAAACACACATTTGCTCTAAAATAATTAAAACTTTTCAGAAGGAGTAAATTTGCTTTTCTTTAATTTCCCTTGTCTTTCATGACCACCTGATGCTCCACGCAACATACAGGTGTCAGCAATTGCAAGGATATCATGGCCAGGTGAGGTCATCTCAGACTTCATCAACCTGCTGGAAAATTATGAACTGTCTCTGTTGAGATTTTAGCAAGTTTCTTCCTTCAAATATCACTTCAGATGCTAAATAAAAAGCAACATCTATAAAATAAACACATTTACTCAGGCAGGTTTCCTTGATTTTTATTGCCAACTTGTTTTAAGAGTACCATAAATGCCACAGAGAAAGGGAAAAGAGAGCCCAGTCTGAGACACAAAACGCATGTTACTATCTATCAAGATGTGAATTGTTAATGTTGCATCTCATTTAAAGGGAAAAAAAAGTACTGTATAAATATGCGTGTAAGCACATGATTTTCCAAGTGGTTTAATCACTTTATTGAGGTATCTTTTAACTCATAACAACAAAAAAAGCTATTAAAAAATCCTACTAAGAAGTAAACTATTTAGATAGTCTTCAAGACATAAACATGTAGCTGTTTGATTTTGGAAATATAATTAACACATAGAGTTTAATTTATAATTTTAAAATTGCTGTGTATAACAAATTGTCACATTTTATTTGGAATCACTTGACTGACTTAATTTGCTTGATTAATAATAGTAAGAGACAATAGGAAAATAATATAGTTTTATAATATTCAGGATTAAATTATCTATATTTAATAGCTGAATATTCTGTGTTTCTTTAAAATATAGAGTGCTGACTACATGAAATTATTTAGTGCAAGCTATTAAAATGGTCGTTCATTTAGAACGTGTACTTTGTTCTTCTATACTCTTACAAGCATTACCTGGGGCTTTCTTAACAGATTGTTCTGATAAAATTAAGTCAAAATATGTATCAAAATGTTTTTTGTAAGTTGTATCCCCATCTAGAAGTGAAAGAAATCTAGTTTTACATTAATGGCACGTTCCTCACCCACCCCTTCTCTACTCTCTTTCCCCCCATACACAATTTTGGGAAGTGTCCTGTGGGTGTCTGACATACATTCTTGGTTAAAATATGACACCTACCATTTTCCTCTGTATTAGAAAGGGTTCTCCATGCAACAGAAATAGAACCAATAAGAGATATATATTATATATATAATATAAAATTATACATATATACCTATATATACATATTACATATAGTCAGATTATAGATAGAGATAGAGATTGTGGGACTTTTCCTTAGTTCAGTTAAAGATGGGGTCCTCGTCATACCACCATGAAAATTTAGGCTCGCAGATGATTTGAAGAGTGGGAAAAATGGGATTTATTGTGCGAAAACGAAAAAAGGGGGAAACAGAGACTCTTAGCAAAGTGAGAGTGTTTCCTGACCATGGCTTCCTGCCTCTCAGCTTGAATCCCAGGTACCACCCAGGAAGAGGAGGAGCTAAGCTCCTCCCCACTGCAAAGGGTGAGAACTTCTGTGGCTCCACCCCAGTGCTCACTCCTCCCAATGCATAGGCAGACTGAAGTTTGCCAGGGAGTCCTTCCCACCCGACTGTCTCAGATAGATAGATGATAGATGATAGATAGATAGATAGATAGATAGATAGATAGATAGATAGATAGATAGCTACACAGACAGATACATAGATAGATAGATGATATATAGGGACAATTATGGGAATTAGTTCATGCAATTATAGAGGCTCAGAAGCCCCACAATCTGCTATCTGCAAGCTGGAGACTCAAGAAAGTCAGCGGTATAATTCAGTCTGAGTCCAAAGACCTCAGAACCAGGGGAGCCACTGGTGTAAGTTCCAGAGTCCGAAGGCCACAGAACCAGGAGCTTGATGCCCGAAGGCAAGAGAGATGGATGTTCCAGCTCAAAAAGAGAGCGAATTCACCCTTCCTCTGCCTTTTTGCTCTATTTGGCCCCCAGTGGATTGGATGATCCTGCTCACATGTGTGAGGGGATTGTCCTTATTCGTTACTGATTCAAACATGAATCTCTTCCAGAAGCACCTTCTCAATCACACCCAAAAATGTCCTACCAGCCCTCTGGGTATTCTTTAGCCTAATCAAGTTGACATATAACATTAACCATCATATCCTCCGTTCCTGCTTTAATCCTCTCTGAAAACGTCTCCTCAGCTGCGTTTGAGTGGTATGGAATCACTGCTGAGCCTCCACTATTGGTGCCAACAAAGACCTCAGTGATGCCAAGGTAATGACACAGATACCCTCCAAGACCATCCTGTCTTTGTTGCTGTCTGTGATACCAACGTTGTGTGGGGTCCTCCTGAGTTTCTTGTTTCATTGAGCTGCAGGTTAGCCTACTGTTCATTGCTTGAGCCCTGGAATTTAACACTTGAATGTGCTTTAACCTTGTCATATATTCTACCCCTCTTGTTACACTCTCTGACATAACTATATTTCTATAGATTTACCATAAAAAGAGATCGTTCTGACTTTATTTTTGCTTTACTATAATTTACTGACAAGCCCTTCTTCCTGGAACTCAAGTTCAAGTCTATGCAGGCTGGACTGGAGGCTATCTTTTCTCTCCCAAGCCTGATGCCATTTGATAGCTCAGCTGTGCTTTGGTGATCTTTCTTCTTATGATGAAGTTTTTCCTAAGAGATGTCTTCATTCCTTATGCATAGACTCCTCTAAGTGCATTTACAGTTCTTACAAATTTGCACACAAAAATTTCCATCTCCAGTAAAAACGCATAAAGTCAAGATAAGACCTCCCTTTGACATGTGTATTTTAAATAATTCTCTGGATGTTTTTCTTTTAAAAATTAAATATATAATGGGTATTGAGTCGTCTGTAGGATTTACTGAACTTCATGAAAGAGCTTGCACCCCAAAATACCCTCGTCTTTTCTATTACTCAGTGTTAAGGGATGGAAAGTGTCTCGATGTAGTATCTTGCACTTTCTTCAGCTTTAAGATGCCTGTTTTGGGTTTTTTTGGTTTTGTTTTTACATTTTAACATTTCTAAAATCAAGAAATTTCTTACAAACAATGTGTACATTTAATGCTTGGGGTTTTAGTTTTTGTATCCTTGAAAACAATTGAAAGTATGTCTTACAAATGATGATATCATTGAATCAAGAAAATATAATAATCAGTTTTCTACTATTTCTTGGTTCTTTTCACTTGGAAACTATATTTGGCCTGAGATGTATCCAAATGCACAGGTATTAACAAGCAGTAACACACTGATTTAACTGAATAATTAAGGAAGTGACCTTTTGATGCAATGATAGAGGCAGGGGGCAGAGAAATTATAGGCAGAAAAGGGTGGGTCCCTGACAAAACCCCACCTTCGAGCCAAAAACCCTAAAACTGTGGCCCAAAGTGAGAACTTCTATCCCTGTTTTCCCACTTGAATGTTGCCTTTTCCCAAACTCCCCATGGCCCACCCCACCCCTCATCCTGTGCCTATAAAGCCCTCAGACTCAGCCAGCAGAGAGGAGAAGCAGCAGCTGGACATCAGGACTATGGCTGGACGTCAGAGAAACATGGCTTGATTTCAGAGGGACAGCATGATGACATACCTTTGGAGAAAAATCTGGTCAGAGACAGCCGGACTTCAGGGGAAGATTACCCACCCACTCCATTCTCTTTTCAGCTCCCCTTCCTGCTGAAAGTGACTTTCATCAGCAATAAAATCCCCTGCATTTACCATTCTTCAATTCATTTGGTGCAACTTCATTTTTCCTGGATACTAGACAAGAGCTTGGGAGCCATAAGTGTGGATAGAAAAGGCTGTCACACTAGCTCTTTGCTTTTGCTGGTGGAAGGCAGCCACCTCATGTCAAAAGGCAGAGGGCCTACTGAACTGTTAACACTTAAGCTGTCCACAGGCCAGACAGCAGAGCTAAAAGAGCACTGTAACATGCCCTCTGGGGCTTTGGGGGTTGCAGGCACACCCCACCTAGATGCTGCCACAGAGCCTGCAGAGACTTTGCTCCTGCCGGTGCCCGAAAGCACTCATTCCAGCTCCTACGCCCACTCACCTGTGCGCTCCCTCCCACAAGGGGTGGAACACAGCAGATGCACATGAGTGGAGTTTGATCCTGCCAGCACCAAAGCAGCTGGCTGGTTCCAGTGTTCATGCGCTCCAGTGCCTGCCTCATTCACTCGCACACTCCCTCCTGCGAGGAGTTGAGAGTGGTGGGCTGAGTAAACAAGACACCTGTGTCATGAGTCCCCTGAAGGGGTCAGGGAAATATACTGCTTCACTTTGACCTAGATACAAATAACATGACTGAGGAAACCTAATTAATGTAGTATAAGATGTTTACATGGCTGAAGATGGCCTGCTGGAGGATTTGGGATGTGTGGGTAGAACAGAATTGTTCATATTCTTGATGTATATGCTGGGTATTATTATTTTCACGTGAGTCTACATAGACGTATATTATCCTTATAATAAGCAAACAAATATTTTGCATGGATCACCTTGATTGTCATATAGGAAGGTTTTTTAGAGAGTGGTGCTAGGGTGTCAACATCATATATGTGATTTTTACACAGACCAATAATCTTTGTCCTGCCACATGGCTATGGACTGGACTGTACCTTGATATCAGTCTCCTGTCTTCAAAACTTGCCCTATTGGTTTTAATGGGTTTCTAATAATAGAGTGTAAATAAATTAACATAAGTCAATTCACACTATAGAGAAATAAAAGAGTCTCCAAGAACATTCTGTAATTAGGCTCTTCTTGACTTGGCACTGAGGGTAATAAATTGGCTCTTCTGCTTCGGACTTGAGTTATGTGGTCAGAACATTCTCTCAATTCTTCATCAGGCTTGGAATCTTTGTCACCTACCCATTAAGTCATAGATCACCCCTGGTCAGCATTGGTCCCCTCTCCTGAACCGGAGGCCATGATGATGAAGTACGTGGATTGAACAGTATTGATGTGGCTTCTGATCTGTTGCCTATTGAACACGTGCTCCAAAGGGTGTCATTTACAGAGGATGCAATGAGAATGTATATCCTGAAGATGTATAATGTGGTGATGGGATACTGAAATTCATACTGTTCCAGATATATCAAAACTCTGCTAGTCATACCACATCTGATTTAAACTCTTTCATCTTTATTTTTGCTAGCTTAACAAAAACCTCTGCAAGTTTCCAAGTCTCATTCTAACTTGCAGTAAAGCTCCAAAGAGCATCCACTTTTCCTCTTTCAACTTTTATTACATTGGGTCACCTTGGCCTTTGAAGAATCTGTGTGATTAAGTGTAGTGTTATCAAATACTAGTCCCTGAAATCACTGCCTCAAAACCACCTGGGATCAAAATATGGATGCCTATTCCCCACCACAAGCCCACTCAATCAGAATATCCAGAGGCGAGGTACAACCCCAAAACACCCCTTGTTTAGGAACTACTGATTTAGTGAGACTACCAGCAGTACACCTTATAGCAGTAGTTGAGTACAGTAGCAGTTTACTCATGCACCTACCGGTAGTAGAAGGCATGCAAACTGCCCTTCATGAGTAACCTAGAGACACGCACAAGAACCAGCTTCACCATCATTATGATTCTCTATCTCTAACTGAAAATGACACTTGCTTCTTCATAGAGGCAAATAGGTATTCTACTACAAGCAGGTCCTCACCTTAAAATTTTGCTCGAGGCTGCAGTGAACTATGATCATGCCACTGCTCTCCAGCATGAGCTTCAGAGTTAGACTCCATCCCTAAAAAGAAAAAAATGAAAATTTTGCCAAAAACAGGTAGACACAAAAGACCCATCAGTCAGAAGCCAGCCCTGTCTGAAAGAAACCACCACAAAGACCATCTGATGTTTTATTAGCAGCACTTTGCTCAGCCCCTGGTTAAAAAGCAGTTCTCTGCAGCAACCCAGTTTTAGTTGTCCCCAGGGCTCTGGCTTGAAAAGAAGTTTGACATTATATTTTCTAAGCCAAAGGGGCACTCCTAGCATAGAAGCATCAGACCAGACACCTGGTCAGGAGCATTGTAACTCATTTATTTCTCACTGAACAAGTTATTATCCTTTCCTTTTTGTCTGAATTGCTGTCCCTAGATGCCATTCCCATGGGTGGTCTCTACCTGCACATTGCTCTACTCCTGGTATTGATAGACCCACATGCCATGCAGCCTGAGAAGAAACATGGTTTGATATCCTAAGGGGG